CCTGTGACGTATGTCTTCACCTGTAATGTGGGGGCTCGAACGTCCCCAGAGAGTATAAAAGTTTGGGGAGCATTAAAATTCTCTCTCCACGTGGATTACCAAGCGGGGCTGAGGTGAGCAATGCTACCATGAAATGTGTCTGACTCCATTTATTTCTATATATCTCTTTTATCTCTCATACTCTCTATAACTTTACTATAATATTTACTTATTATCGCTGTACAATTGCACCTACCGAACCCGTAGTGATTGTGCTAGGAGCTGGCTTCTTCTGGCAACTAAGAGCAAATTTTGTTTCTTCCTCTTTGCTTCCAACTTTTGCATTCCAATTGCCAATAATTATCAGTACATCTTGATTGCAGGCTTGATCATTTTCCAACTGAAATCGTTGGTAGAATTCTTCAATTTCTTCATTACTAGCTTTAGTGGTTGGTGCATACATTTAAATTGACTGGATTTCCTTGTATGCAGAGAGATATTATCCTATCACAGACAGCATTGTACTTCAAGATACATCTTGAAATGCCCTTTTTGATGAATATAACACCAAACCTCTTTGAATCTGTCATTCCCAGCATAGTATAAAATATGATTTTCTGATCAAAATGGTCAATTGCAGCTGCAGTTCATTGCAGCTCACTAATGGCTCGAAGGTTGATCTTTGTGCTTTCCATTTCATATTTTACAAATTCAAATTTTCCTGATTCATACTCCATACATTTCAAGTTCCAATTATTGATTGATGTTTTAGGCTTTTAATTCTCATTTTGAGTTGTGGCCTATCAGCAAATGAAGGTCCTGGAGGGTTTACTCCATCCATGGCATGATGGTCGACTCAACTTTGAGAAGGCAGCTCTTCCTCAGGCATATTTTGAGTGCGATGGCAGGGAGTTTGGGGGTTGGTTCCCGCACCCCCACCCAGGGGTGCATCTTCTGGCACCATCTCTGACAATGTTCTGCTTCTATTCATGAAGTATTCAGGATCTGACCGTGTTTCCATTCTGTCGTAAGGTTTTCAGTGACTATTTCCTCCAAAGTGGACCGCCTAGTCCTTCTTTATATTCTGTTCTTAATCTGGACACTCTGCAGAAACCTGTTCATTTGAAATACCACTGACATAGTTTCCAGCATCACAGCAACACACAAACCACCACCACCACAGTCCAACAGCCCAACGAACTGACAGACACAGTCCAGCAGTCCAACAAACTGGCAGACAAGTGGTGGCATCTTGTTGAGCTCTATAAACAGGGTGTCATATTGGGTGCAGTCAACTGGCAGTTAGTTACACGTTTCCAAGATTTTTCCAAGATTCTTACATGTTGTTGTGCATAGCTGTTAGGAAATCCTCCATGGCCCATCAGTTGATTGATTCTAACTCATGACAACCCCAGAACTGCTCCACACATGGGGCTTGTTTTGTTCTCCTGAAATCTCCCCGCCCCCCCAGGAGAGGGAGCCTTTTATTGGCTGAAGGACTACTTGAGGGGGCTGAAATGGGATGAGTGGGTGGCCCCGATGCCAGGCTTGTAAGTGATGGAGAACTCACCCAGGTGGTGTCCGCTCATCTCTGGCTTGATCTCCACCTGGTTGCAGGTCTTCCCGTTGTACACGCCCACCGTGCTGCCCACCATCTAGAGGAGAAAGGCCTCCTTTTTGGCCGTGGTTCTGGAGGCGCCGCGGCCAAGCGCTGTCCAGCTGCACCAGCAGCTCATAGGACACGTCCAGCAGCTGGTCCAGATACACGCCGCCCTAGGTGAACTTCCGGAAAGTCGGCTTCTTCTGCTGCTCCCCCTCCGCCATCTCGTCGGTGCTGTGGGAAACGCGTTCTCCTGAAATCTTCATGGAAGTAGCTCGCCAGGCCTTTCTTCCGTAGCCTCACGGGGTGGGTTGGACCCATAGGCTTAGGTTAGCAGTGAACCCTAAAGCACAGCAGCACAACTCTGCTATTATTACAAACGACAGGAAGAAACAAACGGGTCCGGGGAAGGAAATGCAATTTTGATGCTGCTGGCTCTGTAGGAATGCCAACAATCCCAATGGCCCAGCACTGCCCCCTCCCGCTCCATCTTCAGGGGGGTCTGTCTCCTGACTCAGGTGCTCCTGACTATGGCTGGTGCGTGTGTGTGTGTGTGTGTGTGTGTGTGTGTGTGTGTGTGTGTGTCTTGGGGTGTGGATGGTATGGTGGTAATGGGAGGAAGGACGGAGGACCTTGGTAGGGCCCGATAAATGTTTGGTCTTGGGGCTCAGTGGTCCTTCTCTGGTAGCACGGGGTCCAACATGCCCAGCTGGGACTGAGGGCCATGCTTCCCACCGTGGAGCCCAAAAGCGAGGAGGTCAGTGTGCAGAGAAAGCGTAAGATGCTCAGGAAGAAGTGGAGACCAGAGGCAGAGCCCTCAGAGCATCTGAATTCCAAGGCTGCCCATTCCCCAGCTCGCCACCTCACCTTGCGATTCATGATTCTTTGCCCGCTTTGTCCAAACGAGAGAGCCCTGATGGCGCTGTCCGGTAAACATCGGGCTGCTGACTGATAGGTTGGTAGTCCAAACTCGCCAGCTGCTTTTCAGAGAGAGATTGGGCAGTCTGCTCACATAAGATGGACAGCTTCGGCAACTCTAGTCGGAGTGTCTATGAATCTGAACAGACTCCATAGCAGTGGATTTGGGGGCTCTGAGCTAAGCCCCAAATGCGATCTACTCATTTGCAGCCACTAATCTATGAGGAAAGGGCCCTGGTGGCACGGTGAGCTATGTGCTGGCCTGCTAACCGCCAGCTGCTCCCCAGGAGAGTGGTGAAGCTTTCGACTCCTGTAAAGAGTCGCGGAAGCCCCCAGGAGCAGTTCTACTTTGCAGTGAGTGGCAATCGACTCGATGGCAGCGAGGCTGGGGTTCAAACATCATCACTATGGCGCCGGTGGTGCAGGGTCGGGCAGTGCTTTGTCCTGCTGCACACAGGGCGCTATGAGTTGGAACGGCAGCTAACCACAGCTGAGATCTGTGCTTCCTGGGTGGTGCAAACCGTTTGTACTTGACTACTGGCCTCTGCTGGTGTCATGGATTATGCAATGAACCACAAGGTTCATGGTTCAAACCTACCAGCCTCTCTGTGGGAGAAAGATGAAGTTTTCTTTTCCCATAAAGATTTACGGTCTCAGAAAACTAGAGGGAGCAGTTCTGCCCTGTCCTTTAGGATCGCTGTGAGTTGGAATTGACTAGAAGGCAGTGCATTTTCTTGGACAGTTTGAATTCCCTCAGAAGTGCTGCGAAGGAAAGGCCTGGCCATCTGCTGCCCTCAAGACCCCAGCCGAGGGAACCCTCTGGAGCAGTTCTCCTCTACAGCACCTGGACTCACTGTGAGTTGGAATCAACCGGACCGCAGTTGTTCTGTTTGTTTTCTAAGCTGAGCTCTAGAAGCCATTAGGGCCAGGTGATCATGGGTGACTTCGATTTTTTTTCCCTGTAATTTCAGAGAGAAGTTAGAAAAATCTTCTCAGGCTGCTTGACACCTCACATGTCCTCCACATCCTATCCCCGCCCCTCCCTTCTGGTCCTGAGGAGGCCACAAATGAAGGGAGGAAGCAGCAGAAAAGAGAAAAAGCTGGTAACTGTGGACCAGAAGTGAGCACTGGGGACGCACACGTGGAAAACAGTGAGTGGCTGATTGGAAGATAATTCCAAATCATTATAACCTCAAAACCAAACTCACTGCCAGAGTGGATCCTGACTCATCATGACCCTAGAAACAGAACAAAGCTGCCCCTGTGGGATTCCAAGGCTGTAACTCCTTACTGGAGTAGGAAGCCTCATTGCT